CGCCCTCGGCGATAATCAAGAAGTTGGGTTCCGGTCCTGCTGCGCCCAGGCGGTTGTCGAGATGCGCGGGGCGGCGATGGCAGCCGCCGCCGAAGCAGCTGACGAGGACGACGCCCTTCTTGCCTCCTCCCCTCCCCTCCTCCTCGCCCTCTCCCGATGCCTGTTTTTGCTCTACGGGGCCCCCAGGAGTCCCGACCCTTTGCCCACGGCCGGTTTCGCATCCTGTGCAGTTTTCGACGGTCCCCGGGCCCCGCGGGGGCCCCCAGGTGCCGAAAAGTAGAGTCAAATTCAGCACCGGTTCTTTTCAGTGCGTTGGACGTGTGGCGCCCTCGCCCCGGCCCAGCTGCTGCCACGGTCACCGCTGCCACGGCTGGCCGGCCGCCCTGGCCCGCTCGACGCGGAAGTCTTCCACGTGCTTGGCATCGCTCGGACGTGTGCATTTTTCCTTCGGCGAGGACCATCGAGGATCATCCTTGATCATTTGGCGAAGAAGCCACGCACGAAACCGACAGAAACACAGGGAATGGACGTCCGAGCGATGGCCAGCGTGTGAGTGCTTCTTTTCCCGCCGTCCTCCGCCCGGCCGCCATAGTCCTTTTGCCCTCTCCTGCACGCGGGCTGATTAGCCATTCCGTGGCCCCGAAGTGCCAGTCGCTGGAGCGGACCGCCTCTGCCTCGCCGCCGACGAAAAAAGATGTGGTTTCCTAGGTCCAGGCCGTACTGTCACTTGGTGGTTGGATGCGCGTAGCGGGGGCTGACTGCACATAGGGCCAGATATCGTTGTTCCAGCGCTAGCCCCTCCGCTTGCCAGGAACGTCGGGCTTCCAGACGTGTGCAGTGGAGGCCCATGCCAAGAAATTCCATGCTTGCCTCCAGGGTGCCCTTGGTTTTATCTGGTTCCGATCGTTTTGCGATGGGAAGCGTGGCGCTTGCACGCCGAAAATCGATGGACGTCCTGGGGTCTCAGGGTTGAGTTTCTTGTGGAAGTTTCCTTGTCAACTGACCTCCAATGTATCCTACGGACGGGTCGCGTTCAGAGCGAATTAACCACCCTTTGTTGGAACGTGAGCCAAACCAGGGGTTTTCGGTGGAGTCAAACCTGAAGTCGAACCGCCTAGCACCCAGCAGCAAAGTCGGGTGAAATGAAATGGTATCGGAGGGTTGGGGGGGAGGTCAAAGCGGGACGGAGAGCCCCCCCACCGGGAAATCGGGATCGGCTTCGGGTTCGTGTCGCGCGTGCGGGCGAGGCGACACTGTGTGGGCGGGCGAAGGGGAATGACTCCGCTGTTGCTAGTGGGCGGGCGGTGGTCGGGAGTGTCCCGCCGTGGTGTCCCGTCGATGTCCCGTTGATGTCCCGTCGATGTCCCGTCGCTGTCCCGTCGGTGTCTCGTCGCTGTCCCGTCGCTACCGTCGCTGTCCCGTCGCTGTCCCGTCGCTGTCCCGTTGTGAGGTCGATCGTGAGATCGGTAGTGAGGTTGATCGTGAGACCGATCGTGATATCGATAGTTAGATCGATAGTTAGATCGGCGTTGAGATCGATAGCGAGATCGACAGCAATATCGATAGTCAGATCGATGCTAAGATCGATTGTGAAGTCGATAGTGGGATTGACGGTTAGATCGATGGTGCGATCGACATTGATACGGTGGAGGCATTTGATGATAAGGAATCTTTGTTTCCAGGCCAGACCCTCGGGCATTCCTTCTATGGTGAGTAGGAATTGGTGCGGTTCAGGGTCCGGGGGCATTCCTTAAGCCGTGGTGGACACAAGCCCTGTGGTGTACACAAGCCTGTGTAAACATGCGCACAGGGTCTTCTTCTTACCCCAAACGACCACGGCAAGGCGGGACGAGGGAGGGACGGAGGGAGGAGGGAGGGGGCAGGGAGGGACGGGAGGGAGAGAGGGAGGGAGGAGGGCAGGGAGGAAGGGGGGAGGGATGGAGGGAGGGCGGAACGCGGGAGGGAGGGGGGGGGGGGCGGGGACGGAGGGAGGAGCAGTGGCCTACTGGGCACGGCGTTCAAGCAGTTCGAGAACAGTGAAACATATGTTTGAAGCTCGCTCCTCTGTGAGAGAACATCTTGTGTTTTGAGAGTCTCGGCCGTTCCTGACAAAAAGAAGGATACCGGTCGATTCGAGCCCCTAAGTTCCTTAACAATGGAATCCTTGCTTCAAACCTCCACCGTATCCGATAGCGAGATTGATTGAGTACGTTGGTTCCGCCCCCCGAGGGTGATCTTCCATGTACGCTTACACACTCTGAATGTCTCGGTGGGTGACAAGACGCGTGTTGCCGGAGCATCTGCCGCCGCCAGCTCAGCTTCTTGGGCGTATGACATCCTGGCGTGCGCGGCCGTCCAGATGCCTCTGCTAACAGAGTGCCGACGGCCCGCGCTGGAGCCGCGGCCCTACACCGAGAGGACACATGTAGACCCATGTTTTTCGGGGTGGGGGGCTCCTCCTCCTGCTCCTCCTCCTTCTCCTCCTCCTTCTCCTCCTCCTCCTCCTCCTCCTGCTCCTCCTCCTCTTCCTCCTCCTCCTCCTCCTTCTCCTCTTCTCCTCCTCTCCCTCCTCTCCTCCGATACTCAAAGGGGCAAACACCACCCAGACTGGACAATTGGCGTTTACTAAACGGCCCTGTGCGTTTACTAAACAGCTCTGCCCTGTTCAATCCTTCGTTGGTCGCGTCTACTAAACGGATTCGCTTGTCGGAGTGGTTATTTTCGGTTTGGGTTTTCTGTCCACTAGATACCTCCGCGAACCATATACGCTGATGAGCCTTGGACACAGTCTTGATTGCGTATGTTCTCATGCACCCCTCTTGATTCCCTCTTTCTTCTCCGTACATGTCCCACTCCTGTTCTTCTTCCCTACCCCTCCTCCCCTACCCCTTTGAGGGCGAGGGCGGTGGGTGGAGGAAAATCCGGGGAAGTGAGGAAACGCGGGAGAATTGCTGGCAATATACTGCATGAGTTTTGCACGCAGAGTGGTATTTCGTCATTGGGGCCAGTACAGACGGCTCTCGTGGATTGTCGGGACTTGTGTCGAGGCCCCTTTGGCGCCCCAAGAGTACTGGATCGTGGTGCGGTGGTGGTTTTGCACCCGTTGGCCTTTGCAGGCTGTCCCTATCGAGGGCATTGCTGCTGCTGGCGTCCTGGCTTGGGTTGCCTTCTCCCTCCCCCCCCGACGTATCGGATAACACATAGTGGCTTGACAATCAAATGTCGGAGGTCTGGCGCTGGGCTTCCTCCCTGACGCGCATAGTGCGCTATATGCGGCACCAGAGGCGCCGCCAGTGGGGTCAGGCGCCGATTCATGAAGTCAGCACAGACCTCCGAATGTTTTTGTTTATGTCATTATGTAGTGGCCTTCGGCCCATCCCGCCACAGTGCCTGTGTTGTGGCTCTCATTCTTGGATGTTCGTTGGGATCTCGTCGAGGCCTCTCGGTGGCCTGGAGGCAGTTTCGAGGCCTCTGGGGGGCTGCTTCGGGGCCTCTCGGGGCCTCGTTTGGGACTCTTGGGGGCTCCTGGAGGGCCTCTTGGGGCGTCCTGCGTGCCTTTTGGGGCGGAAAGCTCGGGTTTTTGGTTCGCACTCCCCCCGCTTGGGCCCCTCCTGGGGCCGTGTTGGGGCCCTCCTCCTGGACCGTTCGGGACAATTCTCGGGCCTGGGCCGTCCGGGGCCCTCCTGGGGCGCTCGAAAAGAAGGGAAGGGCCGGGATGAGCAGGAAGAGGAACATAGGAGGAGGAGGAGGAGGAGGA